TTTCTACTTTTAAACTAAAGTATGATTTGTTTTATCTATGGATTTTGGGTAATTTTCTTTATCTTTCTCCTTAAAATGATAAGTAATTAAAGTGTCGGATGGGAGTTGTGGAGAGTATTAAACTTTAATGTTGGAAGAAGTTGTGATTTAATTCTATGTACTTCATTTACTTCTTGATCTGGCCCATTTAGATGTTAAAATTTGTTGTGAGAACATGTAAGAACTGGGATAGTATTGTCTCAGTCAACAATTGGAAAGAATCACATGAGTTGTATGAATGAGAATGTAATTCATATGACTTAGTGCAAATAAATAGGGAAATAATCTTTGAAGGGTGTAGAGTTAGAGGTCTTTAGAGTGACAGGCTAAAGCCCACAACTTAGCTTATTGTTTTAAGTTCTGATACGGGATGTTAGCCCTCAGGTGGAGAGAATCGAGGGAACTCTAGAGTGAGAGCTGGTTCTTCCCTGTCTAGCCGGACTTTAAACTATTCAAACTTTAAATTAGTCAATGTTCTTTATAGCATCTCTAATAAGGGTAAAGAATAATATTGCACATATTTGGCACAACACAATTTGAATACTTCCACAACAAAATTCCTATACTTATTACTGATTCATGATAAGGAGAAAGATATTTTAAATTTAGTGTTTTTTTTACATAAACTCAAGTTATATTTAGAAATTGTTTTTTTTTTTTGTCAAAATATCAAAAATACCAAAAAGAATTGAATTTTAATTACTGTAAAAATATCTATAGTTTAAGTAATTGTCCTTTTGAAATATAAAGTTTGTTATTTAGAAGTGTATATTGTGAACACTCTCTGTGGGTTCGATTTTCAGAGCTTAATCAAAAAGTTCTAATATATATTAAAAAGTTAAATTCTTATTTTTTTCAGGATCAAGTTTTTGGTATTGTTGCAAAGTAGGAAAGATAAGTGAAGAATATAATTGCATACATTGTTATACTGTTGCATATAAACAATCGGGATCAGTGTACAGTTACTCAAGGGAAGAGCTAGACAAACCAAATTTGATGAGGAAGTCACAAAAATTTATGATTAAATTAGTTGCTAGACCAATTCCTTCCACCCTAATAGAGGGCTAATTACTCTTTTAAGATATGTTATTTCTGCATTCCCTTGTTATTTCTTGCAAATCACTACCATGAAGAAAAGCACTCAACTATTATTGGATAGGTGTTTCAACAGGTTTCTTTCGTCTGAGCAAAGGAAACATGTACAAAGGACTAGCTGACATAAGGTGTGTAAGCCTCTTCATGTTGGGGGATTGGGTTTCAAAAGCTTCAACCACCTGAAACACAATTTTTTGCAAACTCTGGATTCAATTCAGATCTTAATCTTCTCTTTGGGCAAGATTTATGAGGGAAAAATACTATAGGGATCAACATCCATCCTTGGTTTCCAATAGGCTGGGGGATTCTAGAATCAGATCTAATATGCTTAAAGTGAAATCCAAGGTAGATTCATTATTCATTTGGTAATTAAAAGAAGTTAAAATCAACTTATGGTTAGATAGTTGGACTTTGGAGGGGAAGTTGGTTGATTCTCACCCCTCACCCACTGATTTGAAGCTCAAATTTTTTGACTGTTGGAAAAATAGAAATTGGGACATCCAAGCTTTGCATAATATCTTAGATAGCTCTCATGTCAGTAGGATATTAAAGATTCCTGTTGAAACATCAAAGAGTGATAGATTTATCATCAAGAAGAACTTCTCTCAACGTGTTTCTGCTTACATTTACAATAATTGTGTGGGCAGAAGGTTTTGTGGGGTAAACATGTTTGGGAAAAATTTCTACCCTCCTCCATGTCTTTCTTATGTTGGAGATTATTTTAAAAGTTGCTTCCTATTGATGACATACTTAAGCTTAAAGAACTTCAGGGGCCTTCCTGTTGTGTGCTATGTAAACAAGTTGAGAAGTCTCTCCATCACTTATTCTTTAGTTGTCCCTTTGTCTAAAATGTCTATCATTTTGTCTTGAACCACTTTACCTTCAACACTTTGACCCTCTCATGGCAACATTTCCATAATTTTTGGACAGAATGGCAACAACTCAATCTCTCAACCATTTCCTATTTGGGTGCCTGGTTTGTATGGATGGCTAGAAACTAATATAAGCATGAGAAGAAAATTTTGGACTTTAAGGTTGTTGCAAACCACTGTATGTTGCACCTCGCCAAACTTATCATACTTAAAAAATTTCCTTGATATTTATTCTCAGATTCAGAGTAGCCTGCTCTAAGTTTCTAACAGTAGACTGGTTCATTGGCAGAGAACTGAATTGGGCTGGATTAAAGTGAATACAGATGGAAGTTTCCTCAACTCAAATGTTTGTGTAAGTGGTGTTTTCAGGGACTGATAGGGCAGATGTATACTGTATTTCCAATCTCTTATTATAGGAATGGATGCATTGGAGGCTGAAACTATTGCAGTGTACTGGGCTCTTCTTATTGCTATTAGGGGCCACTTCCAGCAGTGATTATTGAATATGACTCCCAAATTTTAGTTAACATACTCAATAATCACTTGGCTTGCCCTTGGAATTTATTGATCTAGAGTAAATAAATCAAACACTTGACAACCAACCTTACCGCAATGAATATCTTTTTACATAGAGAAGGTAATAGGCTGACCAATTGGTTGACCAAGGCAGGTTTACACACAGAAACCTCTATAAGTAGCAAAGTTTTGTCTTCTTTTCTATCTTTTTTGTTAGATGGGGACCTTTTGGGTCTTCCTTACTTTAGAGCTTTGTAATCACTCATATTTTGACTAGTGATTTCACCTCTTATTTATTGGTACACCTGTATCCATGAATGTGAGGGGCTTCTTCTTTATATATATATATATATATATATACATATTTGTGTGTGTGTGAGTGCGTGTGTGGATGTATGTCTCTATGTGTCTGTGTGTATGTATGTATATATAATGTTGCATTATTTCATGCCAATAGGAACTATACTTTCTTTTTCCTACCTCACTAGCCCCATGACTTAACATTCACTTTAGTGATTGTCTAGAATGCATATGAAATTTAATGTTTATCATGGCCCATATAAGATTATAAGTCCACATCGAATTGTTTTGGCTTTTGAGGTCAAGCTATCATTTCCATTTTTCTTCCATAAGAGCACCTTATCAAACTTTGAGAAGGGTGAGTCCTATTCATACCATTTTCTTCTGGATAGAGTCATAGGATTCTTTGTCAATTTATTTCATTAGCTTAGGATCTAGAAAATTTTCTTAATTGACAAAATTTATGAATTGTTGATAAAAAGTTCTTAGCTATTTTGGGTCGACTACCTTCACGGTCCAGTTGATTCAAAATATCATGACTCACGATAATGAATCCATGAAATCTTGATTGAGTTATGTCTATAAATCTTAAATTTCTTACATATCTCCGTACCTCCTTTAAGCCTATGCAATCATTATGATATATTTTTTGATGTCATTTTGTAGACTCTTACTATTAAGATGTGATTGCCTATTAGTTTTCCCAAGATGTAAATAATCAAATGAATATATTCCTAAAAATATATAATAAAAAAATTTGATCTCTAGCTATACATAAAAGATATTTATGGGTTTTTCTATAGATTTGGATGAAGTGAGTCAGTCCTTTTTCATTTGGTCTTTCATCTCTAACTTAACTTATAAATATTACCCTATGAAAATCTTTCTATACTTCTTTTCATTATATTCATATTTTTTATCTTTATTTTCCCACCTTTCATAATCTCTAATTTTGATGAAGCAAATATATGAGACTCAAAATATATAAATATTACATAAACATAGCAAAAAATAGGTAAAGAAAGCCATTTTAAAAATTTGGATTTACCAAATATGGATGTCTTAGATTTAGTAAATCCACATGTCCAACATATTTAAAAGATTTTTCAAAAAGAATGCATGAAGGGAGTTGGAGAAAGATGAGCGCTTCATGCAGAGAGGGTACTTGGTAGCTTCTAGCTCTATGCCACGACTTGTGTGCTTATTATAAGTTTTTGTGATAAAGGTTTCGAGAGAGGAAGAGGGAATTAATGGAGAGGATGGGCAGAGGAATAGTTAAATGGTTATAATAAATTTATATTAAAATTTAGATTAAATTTACTTACAATAAATGTTAATCAAACAATAAAAATTAATTAAAAGTTATTATAATCTATTAATGTTAAATTATATTAATATTTTAGGTAAATTATGATGTTATAATTTTTTTAAGAATTTAAATTAATATTAATGATAATTCATAAAAGAAATTACATATAAATATTGTATCTAAGAAAACAAATGAACCTTAACAATTAATTGAAATTAATAAAAAATATTAAAAAAACATATATGTGTAAAAGTTTTAACTTAATAACTTGCTAATTAATAAATAATTGAGTTGCTATTTATAATAATTTTATCAGTAATAATTAATATTTAATTAATTATTAAATAATAAATAATTGACATACCTTTTTTGCATTAATTATAATTTAATTGCTTTAGTTATGATTGATGTAGGTTATTGAATAGCTAATTAATAATTAATTAATTAATAATCATGTAAGTCTTGATTAGTATTCAATTAGTTTAGTAAACTCTAATTAACTATTAATTATCTCAATAATTAGCTAAAATATTAATGATTGAATATTACAATACTAATTAGTGGCTAAATTTGTTAGGTATTATGTATATGCAATAGATATATGATTTATTAAATGGATATCTCCTTGTATTCACATATTGTCATTCCAACATATTTATTAAATATAATTATTTAAATTTTTTTGCAGCTAACAATCATAAATCCTCTAAAGAGATTGTCAAAAAGGTTCGCACAATTTAATTATGTTTAATTTATGTCATGCCAAATAATTTTTAAAATTTGGATTTAAGTTATTTTCGAAATTCCTTGAATTAAATTCCAAAAAACTGCCAAACAGCCCTTAAAATCAAACAATCCTTAAAATTACTCGCAAATCAAATAGCCCTTGTGGTAATATGGAGCTCTGAACATTTGATCCTGCAAGATAACCCGGAGGCAGGAACGTACTGTTATTCGAGGAAGGCAGCACGTACTGTGATTCGCTTTCCACATCACTGAACCCTAGTTGTTTTCGTTCGTAACCATTCTGATATTCAGGTAGTGGGAGGATGGCAATGGCTTCGGGCACCACCAGTTCATGTTTGCACGATGCCACTGGAATCAGAGATCCCAGGAGTTCGTTAAGGTATGCTTTTTCAGATTTTCCGAGGAGTTAATCTGCCGAACCATCTGGTTTTATTTTAAAAGGCTGTTCCTGTGATTCTTTGCAGCTGCAAAACGAAGGTTTTTAATAGCTTGAAACCCCTACCTGCTGGTAAACCACTATTCATGTTCTTGGGTATCAGTTCTTTGGTTCCATGCGTAATTTCCTTCTTTTATTCATACAGAAACTTTTCTTGTTTTCTGTGTCATGTTTTCTAGGTATTTTCTGCCCGAAAAAATTGAATATCAACGCTGATTTTCACCACAGGGTTCATCAGATGATATCGTTAAGGTAATGTGGTCAGAAGCCAAGAATCTAGCATTGCTTGCACATGTTTATGAATTCAATAAGGGGTTATATCTCCTTGAAGCATTATAATTGTAGTCAATTTTCTCGTCCACTATATGGATTTTTTTTTTTTTCTTGAAAACCATGGTAAAAAATGGATACTCTATTTGTTTTATAGCTGTACTTTTATCTATTTCTCAGTGAATTGAATTGTCAAGCTGCCTTCCTGCATACCTTATTTGGCAGAAAGCTAATGCTCTATTTAAGTGCCATTTTTTCCTTGTTACCCTGATTCAAGACTGTTAGTTCATAAATTTAGTAAAAGAGAGAAAATAAAGTTTGGTATTTGTGCATTTCTTTGCTTGAACTGAAATCTCTGAGATACTCCGGCTTTGTGGTATTTTGTCTACACATGGTATCAAATGCGCCATACCCAAGATCCAAAATTTTAAACAAATTAACTTTCATAGAACACAGTTTTCAGTTCAGGCTACCAAGTATTGCATAAGATGCTTTCTTCATTCTACCATATATGTTTGTGATGCTTTAAGGTTTTTTAATTATATCCGCAATGATTCCAGAAGCTTTTATCAATTTTCTTTCATTTAGTTTATTTTTACTATATGCATCTTGACTAATCCGTTTGGTCATTTAAGTAACCAATTTGCTACATTTATGTTTAAGTAGCGGGTAAATGCGCTTTTGACATCTGATTCGACTTGAAGATTACAATGAATTTGGATGTTGAGATGGAAAATTCAACTAGGAGAAGAGGATCAGGGTTAAAAATTATGTTTGTAAGATTGTCCTGTTTAAGAGTTGTCTACTCTTAATTGTCAGATTTTGTGAGCGAAGAGGACTTTTTTTTTATTTGTATTCTCTTGTCTCTAGTTCTTATGGTTTTTTTTACTTCTCCCTTGGTGAGTCTTTTTCTCGGAGGACTTTATTTTGAACAATGCATTCCTTCCTCTAATCACTTAGTTGTTGCGCTCACAACCAAGAAGGTGATGCCTCGTGTTAGGAAATGACTTTAGAAGTCTCGTTATAATAGATATTCCGAATCGATGAGGTAATATTATCCTAATCACTTAGCTGTTGTGCTCACAACTAGGAAGGTAATGCCTTGTGTTAGGAAATGACTTTAAGAAGTCTCGTTATATTAGATATTCCGAATCGATGAGGTAATATTATCCTAAATAATAACATTATGAGCGCATATCTTAAAATCAAAAGATTCATGTCATGATATCTTAAATCTACTGACCTTTGAGAGGCATTGGAAATTTATATTCATGCTGACGGATTGCAAATTTGAAAATTCGGCTATCGTGAACACTTCCTTCCCAGTCAGCCATCACGAATGTAAAACACATTAATATCACAAACTGCTAAGATATTGTGATAACCCCACATTGTCCGATAGATGCGATCTTCTCCGAATTGCCCACACGTGCATCCACATGCGTGCCATCGATTGCTCAAATGCAATCCTATTTTAAAAACTTATTAGTATATTTTTTTGTGATATAGTACTATTAGAACAAGTACTATATCAAATGAGCTTAATTTATTAGAATTAAATGATAATATGACACTCATTAGGACGTAATGGAGAAAAGGATTTATGTAGCCGACCCCAATTAGTGGGATAATGGTTTTTTGTTGTTGTTGTTGTATAGTACTGTTAGAACAAGGAAAGATATTAATTCAAGAACAACGTGTATCTTGAATCACTATGGATTTTTCGCGGTATTTGCACAAAAGCGGGCCTAGTAGTTTAATTAATTCGGTTGACAATCTCACCAACTAGTTAACACTGACATCAAAATATTTGTTAATCGTCTTAGTGGAGTGTTGAAAACGCTCAGAAGTAGCACGATTTGACTTAATTTGTAACATAATAAACAGTGTTGTGTTTATGACTTCCCAGATCATATTAAACACGATGATCTATGCAGACCAACACTGTCCGTAATAATCTCCATTAAATGCTTATCTAGATTGAATAAGAGGAAATTGAAATGCAATTATTGATCTAACAAGTAAATTGATATATTTGCAACAGTTCAAAACAATTTTTCCTGGATATATTTTCAAAAGAATCAACACTGCTCATAATTCTCTTTATAAAATGCTTTCTCAATTTGAAGGAAAAAAAGAAAAGAGAAATACAATTACTAATCTAACATTTAAACTAAGATATTTGCAATTGCTCAATCCAAATTCTTATGAATATATTTTAAAAAGCACCAACAGTGTTTGTAATACTCTCCATAGAATGCTATTCCAGATTGAAGGAGAGGAAAAAAAAATACAATTACTGATGTAACGTTTAAACTGAGATATTTGCAATAGTTTAAAATTTTTTTTGGATATATTTTAAAAAGAACCAACGATGCTCGCAATACTCTCCATAAAATGCTTTTTCAGATTGAAAAAGAGGAAAGAAAATTGCAATTACTGATCTAACAAGTAAACTAAGAT